ATAAATCATCTATTGTAGACTGGGACATAGGCCGGTATTCATAGTCCGTTCTTATATTTAAGATCATCTTAAGTATGCTCTTAATGTGTTTTCAACCAATCACAGAGCTGTATTAGCGTCTTAAGACGATACTTAAGATGATTTTGAAATGAGAATCGACTATGAATACCGGCCTAAAAGATAGACTGCTTATGAGGTAGTGGGGGATGTCCTTCTGAGGGAAAAGGACAACACCAATTTATTTGGGTATCTATCTTCTTCTAGTGTACGTGATCACGTGGGCGTGATCACGTGATCGCCCACGTGATCACGTTATTGCTTTGGTGTGCCGGAATTCTTTTAAGACGAAACCTTAACCTCAAGTCTTCGAGTCTCGTGCGGTCTCGTTATTGCAACGGCTTTTTCATCTATTTCCTGGCGGAATAAAATTAAAGTATCTCTGGAAGTGAGAGAGAGTCACGCACGTTCGAGGTTGTTTCAGACTATCAAATCGTACTGAGATAACGCGTGCCATGATTACGGCGACCTGCAGGTTACTGTTTCCTATCAATAGGAAACAGCTTAATCCGCGTAATTTCTTTTGTACTAGGTAAAGAAAATCATTCTGCTTCTGCATAGTCAATAATCTCAATCCGAATAATATTTTTTAAACGTTCACAAGTTACGGAGCCACGTGATTTTATTTTTCAGTTTTAATTAATATGCATGAAACAAAGTGATCAAAATAATAAATAAAACATTGTTTAGTTTGTATTTAAATAAAATTTAATGCGAAGGGATCTCTTAACCATCTAGACAATTGTAATAAAAATTTTTTAATTGTTTATTAGGGAATTTGCTTCTGCACAAGATTTTACTACGTCTAAGTCGAAACAGGGGGTAGAAAAAGACTCTTTACCCCTGAAACCAAAGAAGCCGCTGAATGTATTTTTGCTATATTATAACTCCATACGAAGCAAGCTGCAAGAGGAGTATCCCCAGTCCAAGTCAACGGAGCTTGTGAAAAAAGCGTCGGAGAAATGGGCGCAAATCGACCCGATGCTAAAGCAGAATTTGCAGAAGCAATATCTCGAGCAAACCTCTGTATATAAGCAGAAACTAATGGATTATGAGAATTCTTTAACTGACGAACAGAAGATGGAAATAGTACAACAGTTATTGAAGAAAGGACATACTTTGAAGAAGGGAGAAATTAAACAAGTATTTATGTTAAGATAACATCTATCATTTATACACATACACTAAGAATTCTTGATCATACAATGCCTTGTATTTTTTTTGCAGAAACTTATGGAACTTGGGAAACCAAAGCGACCATTGTCTGCCTTCATGTTATTCTTGCAAAGTAAAAGGGTTGCCAAAAAGCCACAAGTATCACATAAAGTAAGTTAATTGCACAATCTAAGCCTCGTGTTCCTTTATTTTAATATTAAAATTTAAAAAAATTTTTTTCATACATATTTTTACAGATGTACTTTATTACGTATATAAAAATACGTGTCTAACAAGATATCTGGAACTTGCAAGTGTTTTTTTAAGCTGTTTTAAATAGCTTCTTCTTTTTTAGGATTGGATAAACAGTGTGACTGAAGAGTGGAAAGATTTGACGCTGGAAGCTAAAAATAAGTACAGCGCAGAAGCAAAAGATTTGTACGAAAAGTACAAGGTCGAGGTGAAAAAATGGGAAGAAGATATGATTCAAGCAGGTCATTATAATTTTGTAAGGTCCGGTGTTAAACACGAACTCGAGACTCATAAGCGTAAGAAATAGGATTCAGAGTGCCCCAACCAACGTAGTATGCCCATCGCTGAATCCATTGCTGCAAATTTCTCCAATATTAGAATCGAAAACAAAGAGAACATAAAAATAGGTTGGGGCACTGATAGCGCACAGTGTACATTTGGAAATGATCCTGATACTAACACTGGTAATAAGAAGACTGCATTAACTTAGAATAAAGCTTACGTTTGCGCAGTCGGCTAAATTACATTTGCGTCTGGTTTTTAGATCGACGACACGGGTCCGCGGATGTACTTTACGACAACAAAGATACTTTGCAACCTACAATGGAGCATCCAAGGAATACGGCAATGGATACATCGATAAACGATGTTAAAAAGACAGTTGTACAACCTCACGATACACATATACATACACAGATATATACATATTTTATCTCTACGTGGAACAGAGCTTTGACTGCTCTAAAAGAGATTAGTGAGAACTGGAAGACGGTAAGAGAATACATGTTTATTGGCACAGTCGGTATTCTGATATCAATATTTTGCGTTTTGAATCTTATGTATAAGTGAGCACCGTTTGCGTATACGAAAACCTATTGAGTAACTTGTATTTTATTTTTATACATTATGCACCTTGTACTATACATATTTTGTTTCCATAATAAATATTATTCCGTAATTTATATAACCGTCATTTCTGTATAAAGTGTTCCTTAACTGTTACGTTAATCGGTCAAGCCATCCTTGTTTGCACATAATATGTAGAGATTAGCATCGAATATCGCTACTTTAACAATAAGTTTCATTCTTTAAATGCACATACTAACATTTTATCTTTCCTCTTGTTTTTTATAGAAATTATACTAACCCAAACGAGGTGACTATTATGACGATGACTGCAGCAGATACATGTGATTTATACTGTCAACGTTTTATATAAAAAATATATATATGCGTGTTCATTATATTTACATCATTGGCGATTGTGAGGTTTATCGTGAAATAACATGAATTATTTTTCATCTTATTATTTCTTTTCTCTCATGTGCCTATGTATAATTTTCTAATGTTTATAAATGACAAATGCTTGAAAGTTTGCAATTTACAAAACAACATGTGTACACACCATTTTTCCGTCTAGAATTAGTTAATATCGCTATCATCTGTATCATATATGGTCCATCAGGTTCCACGTTGCAATCCAACTTTCCCAATTTTGACTTGGAACTATAGGTTTCCATTTTTTGTCTCTTTCTTAATCTCTACTTATATTCAAATAGCATAAAAAAATACAGCGCGCTTACATGCGCATCTACAACTTCATAGTCAAATTCCTCTATTTTAAGAAGAGACAAACGTATAGAATAGGAGATTTATATAAAAAGAAGTTAACATGTGAAGAAACTATTATAGCTGAAGTCTATTTTTTGTGAGCTCAAGTACTTTTACATATTGAAAGATTAAGAAAGCAAATAAAAAAGATTTGGCGCGTTGATCCGCCGACGAATAGATCATCCGGTTAGCCTTCCGTGTCGTAAAAGGAGACTAATAGGACTGAGGACAAGTAGCCGTAAAGGCGGAGTAAAGAGAAGATCAGAATACAGGGAAGATAGTAGTAAAAAAGGAATAATATATTAGGCCCCCTTGAAAAAAAATTTTGGCCTTTTTTTATTCGCTTAATCGATAATTTTAAGTCTTAAAAATGATATTCTATTGGTTTAAATGTCAAATCAACCTTTTTTTTTAAGTTTTGAATCGATTTAGTGAAGCGTGTCGTGGACTGCTTAGGTAAAGTTAAATGTGCTCAGTACATTGGTGATGGTGACAGCAAGACTTTTAGAGGAATCCTTGATGCTCAGCCTTATGAAGTCTTTGTCATTCATAAAAAAAGTGTTGTAACATAGACAAAAATTTTCAACAATTGGAACACCATTGCAACAGCATATTCCTGAGACTAAATCAAGGGAAAAAATCCTGTATTACTTTTCTCTCTGACAAACAGTTATCGAGATATCATAAGCTAAACATTGAAAAAGTTATAAATTTACTCTCGAATATCTCAAAAAGTATTAGGCAAGTAAAAAAATGTTTTAGGCAAAAGTTGTTCGTATTAATTAGTAAAACAAGATAGTATACTAAACGATAGAGGGTTCCGTTTAAAAATGGAAGGTGACCTTTACGTGACCTTCAAGCAACTCGTCAAGGTCAAACTAATGGCACCATCTTATGTCCCCCTTCGAACCAAACAACTTTTGTCTGAAACGTTTTTTTCTGCGATCAAAAATAAAAAGTTATTTAGGGTGAGATATTAAATTGGGACACCCTGTATAACCAGTAGGCGTTTCCAAAAGGGAAAATTAAAAAAAAAGAATGAACGTTTAAACAGAAAAATTGGAAATCGCGTAAAATCGAGATACGACCTTGCGAAAGAGATCACTCGATGTATGTTTGAAAAATGAGAATCCCTCTTGTTCGCAAATTGCTCGAATTAAAACGCCGAACGACTTAACCTCTAATTACCGCAAGCGTCCAATACCGTCAGCGCGAAAAGTCCAACCGACAAGGAGAGGAAGGAAAGGAAGGACTGCAGAATCATGCCATTCGCATCGTAGAGGGTCGCGAGTGCGCGACTGCTGCCTCGCTGCCCATCCTCGATTGACGCGCAGTTCGGCTGGACGCGCGCGTGTATACAAGTTGTTGTTGCAGGGAGATCGCGCGCGCGCGCCCGCTGTCAACAACGTGCACTCGACTCGAGCACGACGATGGCCGAGACCAACGCCAGGAGGGAAGCGAGGAGGCGGCGAATATTGGAGAACTCGGAGAGCCGTCTACGCAGAATTACGGGGCGAGAGTCGCGCGATGTGGGCGAAGTCGAGGGTAAATATAACCAAGCAGGGCGAGCCGCGCGAGAGTAAATACACTTGTGGAGCTTTTGCGAAGATTTAACGGCACGTTGGACGATAAACGCGAAGGATCTCGACGAGCGCGGCCGGTTGGCGAGATTTGACGGCCCGCCCGCGATTCAGGCGGTAACTGCAGCAGCTTGTTGGCTCTGCATTAAGTTTGTGCTCTGCCCTGCTTAAAATATTAGAATACGATCAGATTACATCAGATTACATGCAACTTCAATGTAAATAAATAGAGTTTTATTAACTTAATGTAGTCTGATCATGTTCTATTACTTTAAACAGGGTGTCAGTCGAATGACTGAGATACCTGATGCCACACTAGCTTACACGTCTTGTGTTAAATCTATAGTTTTTCTGTCAAGATTGTAGCGAATGGAACTTGTTCTAGACAGACTTGGTCGGCTGTCCGGTTCCAGGATAAACGTTGTTATTCAGCAACGAGAAGAATCCTAGGACAAACCTGCATAGCGTATAAACATATGCATAAGGAGTTGGACCATAAGTGCATGTATAAGGAAATAAACCAATCAATTTCTTTATGCATATGCTTACGCGCTTACGCAGTTTGTCTGGATAGACCCTCAATGCATGTTTGTGTCTCCTCAACGCAGACTACTTCGTTAAGTTGTGATTCTGTTACAACATGCTCTTGCATCATGTAACAGCTAGAAAAGGCGTGCATTGATCAGCCAGAAGTTGAAACCATTGATAAATTCAATTTCCAGACGCAAGGACAAATGTAGCTCAATTCTCTCTTCACTGTCTGGAACAAACAGCCGCCTTTATGTTTCACTAATTGAAGTGCGTTTATTGACGAGCGTTGTATTGAAATCTAGGTTCATCAAAATTAGACTGGTTTCCAATCCCTGACAATGAGTTCCAAGCTGAAATGTTGGTGCAACCAACTAGCAACCTGTAGCATAAAAAAAGTCTTCTATCTATTCTCGCTGTGATTCCTTCAGATATTTTGCACGACTAATATTTAGTCTCACTGCCTTTTGAATGTTTATTGAGCTTGCATAGATACAGTTAAAAAATCTTTTGCAGACAACGACCCAGTGGGCAGCGACAGTCTTAAAGCGGAATTGAATTTCGAGGAGGACAATATCAGAAACGGCACGTGCAATATCGGTGACAATGCGACACTGCAGGACCACGAGAGATTCGAAAACGTGCACGAGGGCTTCTTGAACGACACCAGCGATAAAAATGCACATTCCCCAGAGCAAATGTCCAAGATAAAATTTATATTGTGCACGTTATTGTTCAATCGTGCCAATCTTATCTTGCTAGCTGGGATTGTCAATATTTTGCTAGTACTGAAACTCGACAATTTATTTCGGCAGGTACGTGTGTGTGTGTGTATGATCTTACATTTCATCGAGATGCCTATGTTAATAACTTGTGTACTGTTCATACTTGCAGGCAGTTATTATACCTTATTTGTTCTTGATGGTAGGACGTGTCTACCGCTGTATGACATTACACGAGGCACAAGACGGCAATTTGTTAAGTGCCGTTTTGTTATTGTGCAATATCAAGCCCAGATTCGTTTATATGTGCAAAGTGTCGTTTACGTTATTTACCATAGTTCTTAACGATTTCTGTTTGTACATGTTTAGTTTTGTATTGATGCGCTATGTCGTCGTTCGTTACTACTACCATGACGCTGCAGTACCACTGAATGCATAATTATTCGTGGTAATTGCGTGAATACATTGGAGTTCTATTGACGAGAACTTTTGTACAGGTGAAAAAGACGTTCTTGGAGGAATACAAATTCCGATAAACTGCACCGTTGAGAAACGTACAGTTGTATCGGACTTTTTTACGTCTTCGTTGTGTCGTGACTGAATGCATGCGCAAGTGTCGTGTACAAACACATCAATTTTTCTAGAATACATGTAATTATATATAATTTAAAAATAGATTTTGTACTTGTAATACAATTACTCTTTGTAACTCACATTTGTGTCAAGGCTGTAAATTCGCAACGTTTTGAAAATCTCTTCCCGTTTCTTTTTCCACGGTTATTAAAGTTATCTATTTTAAGCGCGTTGATAGGATTATGTAGAAATAAAAAGTGGAGTCGATAAGCGGTCACTCGACGTTCTATCTCTATTTTATGGAAATAAATATGGAAATACAAAAAATAAATACAAAATAAACTTAATCTTGCAATATTAATTTTAGAGGAAAGTCTTCTATTACGAGATAGGATTCTAATATGGGATAGTGGGGTTTCTGTTAAATTAATAGGCATCGTCAGTGGATTCCACCATAAAATTGCCCATGGAGCAAAATCTGTTAGTGGAAAATTCATTGGTACATCGTGTAATCGTTGCGAAAAAAGATTTGTGATTGAATTTAGGTGCTGAAAACCTATTTCATATTAGAAATCTATCTCATAATAGAAAACCTCTACGATCCTGATCTAAAAGCAAGAAATACAGGTATCTTTAAAAATCAGTAGCTTTCCAATTTGCGGTTGAAATGTCTTGAAAATAATTTATGGATATATGTGCCTCTCCTTTTGTTCCTCTCGGGAAAACCTGTATTCTAAAGGAGAATTTAAAAGTTGGCGCGAGATACAATCGTATCTAAATGGCTGCGTGCAGCAGAGAGAGCTACTTTGCTGTTGCAAAATTCGTAAGTCTGATTGGCGTATGCTCTTAGATTCAGCCAAGACTTTTACAACGGTTGCGAAGCAGCTTTTTCTATTGAACACAGTCATTGATTGGCCAGAGAATTTTTTTATCTAGGAGAGACTTGCGATAGCACCGAGACGCCTTATCGGTGCACCTTACGTATGCAATGTTGATTTCTGATTTCTTTTTGCCTGTTTACCGCCGACTGGTGGAAGTCAAGGTACCTGTCCGTTATATAACGCAATTTCTAATGCAAAGTTGATCGCTGAGTATATAAGAACGTTTCTCCGAACGCAAATGATATATAGTTTGATAAGGTTCCTGCAGATCGACCGCGGATCATTTACTCATCGATGCGCACGTGAGATCGTCACGAGTTCATTGAAAGCCCGGAGCGAGATGAAAGATAGAGTTGCGTGCCAAGTAGCCAGCTCGATTCATTCGAGTCCTTACGCAGAGGTGCACGACGTTCCGATGGACGTGATTATCAGACCTTTGCCCCCTGTGGTAAACGAGGAGAAGGTCGAAGGTTTAATGAGCGCGTTGAAAAACTTGGAGACTGAGCAGACGGTACCACCCATCGACGTATTGTGGATTAAAGGGACCGAAGGTGAGGTGTCAAAGTAGCTGCGCAGAGTATACTGTACAATTTTTATATGTATCTGTAACGTTCTTAGTAATTTATCAATTATTATTATATGTGTATAATTATTTTTATTATATGTATTTAATATATTTTTAACATATTCTTAGCAATTTATAAATTCTTAGTAATTATTGTGGTGCTGATCTTGAACTTCTCCAGCATATTTAAGAGATTAGACGATTGCAAAGCGCAGATCTAGAAGGGGCAATTAAAATTATCTATTGTATGTTTTAGGTGGCGACTACTACTACTCTTTTGGTGGCTGTCATCGTTATACCGCCCATCAGCGATTAGGTAAAGGGTCCATTAAAGCCAAGATAATTCAATCAACGTTGGCGGATTTACGTTGTTATCTGGGAAATTCTACTCCGAACTTGAAGTGATTTTAAGCATTACGCATATGTCAACCGCATACGTACATATGTATACACGCGCGCACGCACACGCATACCCCTGGTAAAAATTCCGTTAGAAACGGATAGAATATGCATTAAATTCTATTTCGCGAAAACGCATAGTAGAACAGTCAGAAACAGATAGAATTTAATGCATGTTCTATCCGTTTCTAACGGAATTTTTACCAGGGACACACAAGTACACACGGGGTGTCCCGAAATAAGCGATGGTTGAAGAGTCATCTGTCAGTGATCGCGAATGTGTACGACATCTAATATCAGTGCACGACACACGGACAGAAGATTCTTTAATCAACACATATGACTGGTTATACTTTAAAGCCATATATGTATAAAAATACCACTTTATGCTACAAAACAGCATGCATTTTCATTACTTAATTTTTCGGAGCTTTTGCGCTGCAATCTTATTATTCTCGAATTTTGAGACACCCTTATATTAAGTGCATTGCATTAGACTTATATGTGAACAACATACATAAATATATATTTACATATTTTTTATTGTTACATTACATTAACTTGAAGAGAAACAATAATGTGCAGTTATTGATTTCATAATAACATTGCTACACACATTACTTTGCAAAGGTATAGGTATATTTACATCGTTATATTTTTATAAATAATATAATCTTTTCTAATGAAGATAGAAAAGCTGAGAGATAAAATTAATTTTGAATAAAACTTTTTTTATGTAAACTACACATGTGATTACTTTGCTACTATTATGTACAAACATTATCCTCTACGAATAAAGAATAAGTTGATCTTTCCATAGAAATTCAATTTTTTGTAAAAAATTTTATTCTGTTTTATTTCAAAATAACTCTTTTGTTCTATTTCTTATTCTGCTGCTTTCTGATTACTCATTTACCATGTAACCATATCAGAATGAGAAAGCAAGTAAAAAAAACTGCAATATTTTTCATATTCTCTATACATATATGCCATTGAAATAAGAACTGAAAGAAAATTGTAAAATAAAATACTTGCACAACGATTTTAGAGAAAATTGACTGTTAAACCCATTACTTGCACAAAAGCTAATTGAAATAAATCTTGAAATAGTTTAAAATTAATTTTCTGTCGCACCAGATAATTAATATGTACATACGTACATACTTGTTATGTATAAAGATATGTGAAATATTTGAAATAAAATTTAGAAAAAACACTCTTCTCTAAGTAATTATGCACAAACTTAAACAAATTTCAAAGAATGTAAAAGTAGGACATCCAAACTCTCATAATGCTGATTTCCTAGCAAATATTAAATTTATAAAAGTATGTGAAAACAATATTAAGTATATTTATTTGTATTTGTCTCAATAAAGATTTCATAACATTGTAAAAATAATAAGTAGCAAATTTTTGACAAAATTAATCATAAAGGAGATACAAATATATTATAATTTTCGAAGTATATTGTATATTATTGTGTAACTACAGTATAATAATTACAATATAATGTATATACTATTCCATAAACAAGTATGTTATCCTTATATTATGCCATTTTATTGATACTCCTCGACTTTTCCATATGAGGACTAGGAACGTACTTATAGTATGTTCAAGTATTTTTAAGACAAAGCTCAAAATCTCTAATAAATTTAGTTCTATCTTTATAATCATTGCATAAGGTGTTTTCTGTATCGATGTTTTCGATTTACTTCTTTCAAAAAGTATGGTTTGTAATTTCTAGTGATATTATCTGCGGATGGATCGTCTATATCCTCAACGGAATGAGATTGATTTGATTGACTTGTAGGTTTACTGTTGCGCAAATGAACAGGTATGATAGACTGTTGTAAATGTAGCAGTTGCGTATTGGTTACCTCACAATCGATTTGCATCATTGTTATACGATTAGGTGGCGTTGAAAACGTACCTGAAAGTGAAAGATGTTTCTGTAATACTATGTATTGTTACATCAACGTCAAATTGACACTTTTCTTCAAGCACAGTTGCACGCATATTCATATAACATTAACATTATTTACCGTTGATAGACACAGCGGGTAGAACTAAAGACATTTTAGGTCTAGCTGTGTTATTTTTCCGGGAAGCTGGCAATAATAAATGTTCGCCGGTAAACCAGACAACGTAAAATGTATCGTCTTTTCTTCCCAAAGCTTCAAATAAAGAAGCATGTTCGCTCAATATCGGAGAAAAGATTTCAATCGCATTATTATCTGGATATTGATCAACGGTAGGCATATCGATCATTTTGTGCATAGTTTTTATTTTTCTATCCCGTGATAAGTAAACCTTCCTTCTTGCTCTTTCCACCAGCGGCGTTCCCGACAGCGATATATTTAACGAATCTGATTGCAACTTTGTTTTCCTCAGAGCAGTCTGATTATCTCGATCAGATTCACCAACGATCCAACGTCTCAACTCGCTATCTAAACGTATCGACTCACTTTGATTAATATACATTGGACATACGGGTTGGTGTAGCGGTATACTTTTATTAAAACTTTCTTCAATTCGATCTTCCATACTGTTATCGTTTTCATCTACCGACCAGAACAATCTTCTGTTATGTTTGTCCTGTATAGGTACTGATAAACTGTTAGACTCAGTTTTTAAATGTACATTTTGTGGATGCGTTCCCCTTAAATACAAATAACAGTTTTACTTTTTTACATGTCTTGTGAAATATAATCCGTGTAAAATATACAAATTTGTGTGCTTAACACAAGAATCTCAATATCTCTATTAATTTATAGAATTTCAAATTTAAAAAATTTATATTTATATACAGGGTGGGCCATTTTAATTTATACAGTCGATTTTTTAAAAAACTAAAAGAGATATGAAAAAATGTTCAGACAACAGTTGT